GCACATCAAAGTCAGTAAAACTACAGTATCTAATGAGACTTTTAATAGTAAGTTTAGTCAAGACAGCAGAAGCAGGAAGAATGGGCTGAAATTTCAGGAATAGAAAATCTTCTGCAGATATTGGATCAGTTGTTCAAAGCAAGTGACTGAGTACTGGAAAATATAAAGTTAATGGATAATAAAACCAGACCCTCTAAGTCAAACAGAAACAATTGCCAACATACAGATTTAATGTTATGAAGCTGCAATTTTTCATAAGGTCAAACACTTATGATTGCTTATTTACAATATAATAAAGTAAGTAGCAGATATGGATAAGAAAAGATCTGCTGTACAGTGCTAGAGTAACAGCCTGTCAGCTTTAGAAGAGACCTTTAGAAGACTACAAAATAGTCTTGCATTTTAATGTTACTATTTGAAACAGATTTGCCAACCACTTAAGGTGTGACAAATTTCAATTCTATTTACATTTTACTAAGCAAATAAAGTTAACATTAAAAGAGTTCGACAAAACATCCGGTTAAGTTTCTGTGCCAGCTGTAAGGCATTTCACACATTCAGGAAAGCATGTTTTGGAATGAGATGACTGTACAGTATTGATGTTCACACTTAATTCTTATTCTAAAACTAGAATCAAATTTTCTAGCAGCACAAGTACCCATAATATCTAATAAAATGTTTGAGCAGTGTATAAGCTTGACAAAACCTTCAACTAGACTTCAAGATTCATAAGTGCTATCAAGATTAAAATTAAGCAGTTTAGTCTCTTGCAATCTAGCTAGTTATAGCAAAGTCCTACATTCTGTACAGAAGCAAATTTTTCTGAAACACCACAGTCCAAACTTAAGACCATAAACAAAACATTAGTGCCCAAAGAAACAGCAAATGAGCCTTCAGCTAATTCACACCAGCCGGGATCTGTGTAGAAAGGAGTGTAAGTTCTAGACAATAACAAACCATAAAGAAAACTGCTTTCAGCTTGCAATCTAACCCCTACCGCAGAAACATTCCCTCAAGGATAAAGCTGCATAGTGCCGCAAATGAAGGTCTACAAACATTACAGGGAAGTTATCGAAACCCTCCCACTCCCAAAGTACTGTATGAACTCACCATCTGCAGGATTGCACCATATAAACGCAGGAGAACTTTCCGTGGCTCATCTGCAACTGTCTCAATGGTATCAGGTAGCGAGCACTGAAACAGCATGTTGCTGAGGCCGCCTCTGGAGACACAGAAATACATTGATTAGCTAACTTGGAAAAGCACACCTTTTGTTTTCAACAGATTAGAGGTGCAGTAAACATCCTTTTGGTGTGATTAACTGGTTTACTCTAACAAGAGAGTTTTCCAACAGTACCAATAACTCACATCAGACTTTGATAAAAAAAATGGCAGCTTCGTGCTTCTTAGTATACTTGACCCAGAGCTATTGATCCAAATTACAGCTCAAGCTATTAGCAAATGGATGTAAAATGCAACAAACAACTATGTAGATCTAAGTAAATTATTTTCAGCGATGCTGGAGTCTTGTCAGATATACTTGGCTGCACAAGCAAAACAATGGCAGAAATAGTTTAAAGCCATGCAGCAAGTATAAAACTCCCAGTTTGAATTAAGAGCTGCTATCACTGGGATTGGCAGCTACAAAACTCAGCTATATTTAACCTGAATACTGCACTACAGCATTGCTGAAAGAAGTCTTACTTCTGCTGTTTTTCTTAGGCATATATTTTCAATTTTGAATCTTACAATTAAAGCAGGTCTTTATTTGAAATAAGCTGCTCATGTATTCATCAAATCTAAAATCACAGTCAGTTTCTCTGATCTAGTATCTATCCAGATCAATAAAGCTATTGAAAACAAAATAAATGCTGTGACATTTTCCTGTAAAAATACTGTTGTAAAAAAACAGTGTGTCTGTGTATCATCTGAATGACTGAAGCATAGATTTTCCTAGTTTCTGTCTATCTTGATGAGATTCTAAGTTTCTTGATGTTCTTGCAGCACTTAAGAACACATATCTACTCAACCCACATTTTCTTTACTGCTTTGCCTTTCTGCATTCTTTTTATTATGCTCATGAATGAAATTTTCAAGTTTTCCTTCTGCAAGTGATTTTGCCTGTAACATATAATACCTTGCAGTGACCTTGGATTACAAGAATCCACAGCAGATCCAAAATGTAATGGCTAAAATGCAGTTCTCAGTCCTAACTTGACATTCCTTTCAATGCTTTTTCAAATATTCTTCTGGGCTCTTTCAACACAGTGGGGAAGCAGAAAAGATTTTCTGGAAAAAAAAAGCTATCAAGAAAGAGACAGGGGCTGGCCTACATATCCGAAGTCAACTACTAAGAAAAAAAGAAATCTCAAGAAAACAGGGTAAAATAGCAGCGGCACAATATGCTTAAGAAAGGAGACAGAAAAGAACCAGGTGGCTTGGCAGGCACCCAAAAAAGGATGTTTAGAAACAAGATATGAAGTAACTTTGAACCATGAAGGGGAACAGGTTGGAAAAAAACCCCAAAAGACAGATGGAAAGGATATCAAAGGAAGAGCAGAGTCAGCTACTCAAAGACAATTCAAAAATTGGTTAGTTATACTAGCTACACTTCTGGCTTTATCTAAACTGCGCTAGACAGATTTTTGTGAAAAAACATTTGCCACCTTTTCTAAGGCTCTGATAAAGCTTTGGTGAAAATACCAATAATTAAATAGAAGTACTAGGCACACAGAAAAATACAATACTGTACTAAAGCTCAGGAACATATGTATAGTCACACGACTTCAAAAAATGCTCAGCCTGTATAGTGTGTGAAAGCCCAGAAATTCTTGGTTTTTTATACCAGACAAGCCAAAGTGGAATGTCTTAGTGATGCTGAACTCCATTAAACAAAAGTTTCACTCTAGCATCTGTGGTGTTGAAGTTCACTATAGCATTTAAGACTTCAAAAGTTACCTGGAAAAGTTATCCAGGAAATCCATACAGGAGCATAATAAAAGGCACTGTTCTTCTGAAAGGTCACTTGACTCATCAGCTTGTTTAAAGGTCAAAAGGGCACATCTCACTCATACAGATAAAGCTACCAGCTACTTAACTGACAGCTGTACAAGAAGACCATTTTGTAACATTAATGGTCACACTGGAGAATGCATACTGACTGAAACCAGAAACAGCAAACCAATATGATGCATCTTCCAGAGATGAAAGTGGTGAGAAGACTTCTGCCAAAAAAATCCCAACTACCAATTACCATGGCTTTATACATTCTTAAGTTTCAGCTCATCTTCTCTTCTGCCAAATTTAGAAACCACCAAGCCGTTCTGAAGTGTTGCCTCACATGAGAGGTTTCCAAGAAATGCAAAGATAACTGTGCTAAAATGTAAGGCTCTAGAAAGTAAGAACCAAAGTCAGCAACACACACTAATACAAATGAAAATTTAATTAAGCAACTCAAACTAGGAATATCACACTAGTCTGTTGCTTAGGAATTGTACTGGTTTTGTAAAAATTCTCTCCCTTCATTAACTCCTTATGATCTTGTCAAGTGAGGAGAAACAATCTAGAAAAACAAATAGTACCTGCACTGGGTCTCAGTGAGTTGCTAATTTTTCCAATAAGGCTTTTAAAATAAATTTAGAAATGAGCAAGATGTGTTTTAACCATACTTTCACACATCAGAGCTTTGTCAACTGTGTATGCTCCACTAGGTACCTAGGGTAGATGTGTGCAAGGTTTGTGTAGGACAAAAGTAGAAAGATGTGGAAAGCAAACTGGTAACAGTATCCCTTGAAACTGTCCTCTACTCTGTGTTTGATCAGGTAGAAAGATCAGTCTGGAAGATGTGAGACAAGCAGTGCATAAAGGGGTAACTCTGAACTAACATCAGTTTAGTTAGAGCAAAATAAAGATGCTATTTAATGCTGCAAAGAAGGCAAAGATCTCCAACACATGACATCATATGGCTTCCAGAACGTCCCCAATTTACATATTTCTGCTGCCAACGTGCTGAGTCACAAGCACTCGTTACAGTGTGCTGTAGATGACTCACACCGCCGGTACACCGCGTTTACCTGACGCCTTCTCCGTGCGGAGCAGCCAGGGCCAGCCCCGCAGGGCCCTTTCCCGCGGCAGGGCGCTCGGGGCGCGGTGCAGCGGTTTCTGCGGGCTCCATCCCTCTCCGGCCGGGCTCGGGGCCCCTCCCCCGGCGCGGGGCCGACACGGGGCCGCCGCGATGAAGCAGCAGCAGCAGCAGCAGCCGCCGCCTTCCCGCACCGCCACCGCTCCGGGCCGGGGGCGCGGCAGCGCACCTGGCACCGCCCCCGCCACCCCCGCACCGCCCTGCCCGCTCCCGCTACCCGCTAAACCGAATTCGGGAGCGATCTAAAATAATACAATGAAATTAAAACGCAGCCCGTCGCTTTCCCCGCCGGTGTCGGCTCGGACCCGCGGCGCACCCCCGTCCCCGCCCCAAGGCTGGGCCACCTCCCACTCCGCGCTGACCTGATGGGGCTGATGCACAGCTGCTCTTCCCGCAGCCCCCGCCAGGCCCCCGGCAGGAACTCCTTGCACCACAGATACGCCCGGCGCCGCGTCCGGGGGTCGAGCGGCGGCGACTCCTCCTCGAGCGGCGGAGGCAGCGCCGGGGGCGGGGTCGCTCTACCCGCCACGGTGGGATCCTTCCCCTCGGGGTCGGGGTGAGCCAGTGGTGAGGGCGGCTGACCGGTCGCGGCGGACCCGCGGCCAAGGAGGAGCCTGAGCGGGGACGGGTCGGCGTCGCCGTTGCAGAACTTGGTTTTCATGGCGCGGCGTGGGGGGGGCGCGGCGGCCGTTGGGGCGGCGGGCGGGGGCGGTAGCTCGCGGGCGGCAGCTCGCGTGCGTCCCTCCGCCGTCAGCGCCGGCGGCGAGTGAGCCCCGCGCTCGCGCCCGGCCCCCTTTTTATACGGCGTCTCGGCACGCGGGCCCGCTCGCGCCTCACGCTTCACGAGCGATTGCCTGTGATTGGCTGGAGCCGGCCCTCGGTCCCGCCCTTGGAGCGGGGGTGGGCAGGGAAGGGAGAGGGCGGGCGCGCGCGACCGGCTCGCGGCCCCTCCGGGCTTCTGTGGCTGGTGCGCGCGCGCGAGGGGAGCGCGAGGCGCTCGCCCGCGGGGCGGGGACTGAGCCTGAGGGGAGCGTGAGGGAAGGTGAGAGAGAGAGAGGGAGAGAGATGGAAGGAAGGAACGAAAAAAGGGAGGGAGGGAGGGAGAGAGGGGACACCTCACAGTCCTCTGTGCCGTGGAGCTGCCGCCGCTGGGTCCGCGGTGATGCGCTACTAGATGTAGCCGGCACCCCCACAGGCAGGGCTGGCTTTGCTTAGGGCTGCACAACGCGCCGGTGTTATTCACTCCGTGACGTGACACCAAAATATTTGGGAAATCTCCGTACGGTGCGAAGCGGGTCGCGGCAACCAGCAATACGCTTATTTAAAATCCGCTCCTTACTGGAAGTTACCGAGTTCCTTAGTTACTGTGTGATGGCTGGATCATGCCTGCATGGAAAACTGGTCTCTCGTGGCTCGGGAGAGGATTACGCCTGAGCAGAAGGGTAAAGCTACGGGAACAAGAATGATGTCTGCCCGCAGTGCTTCCGAGCTGAGTTACTTATAGTTTTGGCATTGGAAATACGGTTTCGTGTTTCGGGAAACGCCAGCATCTGCCTTGCGGTGCAGCCCCCGAATGTGGGAGCGCTGATGCCACAGCCCGCTGGAGGAACCGCGGCTTTCCCGCCCCTCCCGCGGAGCGGGTGCGATTGTCGCCCAATATCTTACATCACCTGTCATAAATGAGCAGTAAAGCAATAAATCCCTTCAAGCCTTGAACTACCTCTGCACTTCCCTGATTTATTTTTTTTTTTCCTCCTTTGGCTGTTCACCTTTGATGGTCTTTTTCTGTATATGAGAGAGTTGCGGACTTTTGTAATAAAAGTTGCCGTTATTTTGGTGATCATTGTTAAAGCTGGGGATTGCTGGGTTGTGAGGGAGTTCCTGATAGGCTCCTTCCCTCATCCTTCCCCAAACTATTTCACCGCACGGGCTGCTCTCTCATTTTGTTGCATGCTACACTTCCGCACTCTAGTGCTGGAAAACCCCCAAGGAGCCTATGGACTTTCTAGGAAGTGACAGGAAAGCTCCAGAACTGGCTTTGGAACAGGCTTTGTGCTGGCAAAGCACCTTCAGCACAACCAAAGCTATTTTGGTTGAGGCATACCAGACCCTAGTTAAGAGGAAGAGTGATGTGTGAGTTAGAGAAGCCAAACTGGGACAGAAGAGACAGAGATTTCTTTTCTCTTTATACCTCAGCTCTTTGTTTATGAAATAAAACCATTCTCTGAGGCACAGATTAGGATGCTGAAGAGGACATATGCAGTTACTGCTGGAGATGGCTACTCAGGACTGCAGAGAAGTCCTTTCATTTTCAGTACCCTGCTCAAGTACCTGTCAACAGTACTGATGTTAAATAGCTAAACAGAAAAAAACGTGGGAAGAAGTGATGAAAAGAGCAAAAATATTTGCCTTACACACAGGCCCTTCTGTTTCCAAGTGCTCAAACTTCACACTGGTTTGTCATGATAGCATTAATAAGAGGACTTGGGTTTTTCCCCTAATTAGAGTTATTTGACTAATTTTTTTCTAGATTGCTATCAGTGTAGAAAGAAAAGACAGTAAAATCAGATAAAATAAACATTTGTTTTTCCTGGATATAGATGAATCTACCCACTTTTATTAATAAGACAAGAAAGGTCCATTTTGTTGCTACTTCCATTTCACTGACAGCTGTCCAAAAGCTTTGCTTCAAAACCTCCAGTAATCTCTTCCAATGTATCAGAGAATTTAAAAGGCGATAGGAGAATTATGAACTATTTTTATAACCTTTTTATTACAACACACCTTTTCTTAGTGTATGTTTAGCTTGGGTTTCAGTCCTTTAATGGTTTCCATTTTGATAAGTATCCTGGATCCATGTGAAGGCCACATGCGTGCTCCCTTTAGACGTTTGCTCTGCTCATGACACCATTTATTGGTTTCATGCTTTCTTAGCAGTGAGCAACTCACAGCCATTCATTGTTGATTTTGCAAAAAGGGTGTAACTCACTTGAAAACAATTCACTGTGTTTTCCAGCAAACATGGTCTCTCTCCTGAGGAGCCACAAGAGTGGACAGCACAATAAAGGCAAGAACAAAATACTCCTAAGAGAACTTGTGATCTGCATAAGGTGAATAATCATAAGGGACTGCAGGTTTAGTTGATATGAAGGCAAATATGTTGATATGAAGCCAATGTTACTTGCCAAAATTATTTTTGTTTCATTATGCCTAAAAGTAAATATTGGTTATTGCTTAAGATTGTGCTCATGTTTACATTGTGGGTAGGAGTTCTTTTAGCCACGGTACCCTGCATTGTGCATTTCAAGTGTGGTTGGCTGGAGTGGGCAGGAAGCAATGTGGCACAGGCTTGCTCTGACTGAAATCCTAGGCAGCAGTGCCAGAGATATGAAGTCCATGGTCTGAGAGCATGATTCAAAACTCAGCAGCATATGTGGAAAGATAGGAAAAGAAATCTGCTCTTATCTGCTCCTATTTTCTGCTGTTATTCAAGAACTTCCCCAGTTTGGCTCAAAGCATTGAGGAGGAGCAATGCATCAGAAATTTATACTGCTCTTCTTCATGCAGTATGCATTGAACAGATAAACAGAATGAGATACTCTCCTTAGAGAGCTACTAAGATGTACTTGTCGTAAGTTTTAAATCCACATTCCACATTCAAAACAGTTGGGAAAAAAGGAAAAAAAAAACCCATTTCTTCTACTTATATGTGCAATATTTTTCTGCTCCTGAGGAGGAATCACTTACAGTTAAGTAATGCCTGTAATAAAATTTAACAAAACTAAGGCTTCTGCTAACTTAGAATCTATTGAAACCTAAAAGGCATCAGGAAAAAAAAACCTTAAAGAAGAGAATTAAGTACTGAATTAGTGGCTCAGAAGCTCCAAGACTGACTGACTAATTAAAGTCCTGAACTTGGGTTTGTGAAGCCTGATTATGTACGTTCTCAGCAGCAAGTGATGTCAGTTTCCATTGTTGTTAGGACCAGTGCAATATCCTATTCCATGGATTAGTCAATCAACCAGCCATCTTCTTCGTAATGGATTAGTCAATCAACCAGCCATCTTCTTCATCATGAGAAAAGGCAAATGTGTCTTCATGATCCTTATGTTGCATTTTACACCATAGCAACCAAGCTGCATTAGCACACTTTTGTAGCAGATGTGGCTTCTGTATTTATGTTCAACTTTTGCCTCAATCTCATAGGTTAATTTGATGTAGCACCTAATAAGTGAGACCTATTAAGAGAATAATTCCTCAGTTGCCTGTATCTCCTGGATAACCTGGCTTTAAAGCCTGTGAAGGAAGTAACTGAGATAAGGAAGGTTAGGCTACAGACAAACACATAATGACTAATTCTGCTCTAAGCAAGGTACAAGCTGGACTAAGCTCCCCTCTCCTTGTGTGAGCAGAATCTTGAGACTTTGTATGACCTCTGCTGTAAGCAGGGAGAGAGACAAAATTGCTTGTCACAGAAATCTCCTTCCTCTCAGACAGAAAACACATTTTTTTTCTCTGTAATTTATCTTGCCTTCAACTCCACACCATGACCATGTAATCTGTTACTTCAGTGGCTGAACAGAATATAATGGTCAGTGAATCCACTACGTCCTTTGAAGTAATGGAGACACTTCTACAAGTCTTGAAGAAAATTTATATTTTTCGTTGCCTGTGAATGCAGCCTTAATCATATATTCAATCAGGAGATAGTCAATCATATCTCTTGTCTATGATGGTATAATATGAGCCTTTTGTTAATTTATTAGTTTGTGTAATTCAGTAAAGCTTATTGGAATAGTTTTTCCCATTTTTCTGTAAAACTCATATACCTGCAGCAAAGGGAACTACTGTTGAATTGATGCAATTTTATGTGATTTTATTCACACCAATTGCATTGCTACAGGAGATATTTCTTATTGCTCACAAAAAAGCTAAGTCTACAATTCTGACTCAAAGCACTCAACTTTCTTTCACAAGTCTCCCTCTTTTATTCCAAGCAGCAGCAGATTTTACTGACAAGATCAAATGCCATCTAAGGGCAGATCTGCTGCATGGCATAGAGAGAATGACAGAGTGCAGATACTTCTTTCAGCTGAAAAGTTTGCAGACATCAAAATAGTAGTTGTTGATAAATTGTTGATTCTTTATGGACCAGTAGCAGGTTGATACTGAGTTTGTAAATTCCCTTTCTGAAGCTAAGCTGAGCCCAAGACTTAGACAGGGCAACTGTGCAGTTGTTCCAGTCTGGGTGAGAGTTTGGGGTGGTCCTTGAGTCCCTCTGCCTCTTGGCTTACCTCCTCAGTGCACTGCTCAGAAGGGAGCATTTTGCCAGAGCAAATTACTCCCAGACTAGTCCTACATTCAGGTTGCACTTGGAGTAGGGAGGCTGCTTTTGTTTTTCAATTCCTTGATTCTACGTCTGGTAAAACACTTGCTGAATTTTAAACAAAAATGAAGGCTGCTGTTTCTTATTCCCTGAATCAACAGCCAAAAAAAAAATGCTACTTTGAAAGACAGGGATTCGGAAGGTTTGCAGGTTTGTAGTTGTGTTAGACACCCAGGTAAGATGCAGCTGCAAGACAGAGGCTGCACAGCTGTCCCCCTTTCCTCGTCCTCAGTGATAGGAAGGGTGATGGGATAGTGGCAGGCAATCATGTCCTAGATTTGTGTCTCCAGCAAAAATACTGCATGGAAAAGTAGGCAGTAAGCAGTCTAAGGAGAATAGGGGAGCATGATATTTCACCCAAAGCCCCTTTGCTTGTCCCTTCCCAAAAGAATTTGCATCTTCTGTGCTTTGATGCTGTGGGACAAAGAACTTCAGGACTAAATTTGAGACAATCATAGGTTGTTTTATTTTCCTGCTGTGTTTTTTAGTTTCCGGCACCAAATATTAGCAAAAAACCAAGGTGCAACTTTGACCCTTGTAGTATACCTGCCAGAGCACACAGGGTTAAGGAGGGTAAAGGGGAGGGATTTACCCTAGGCTCTGCTCGGTATTTGTGTCTCCTGTGAATGCAAGGGGTGTGTTCCACCAGAAAGCAGCCCTAGCAAAAGGATAATATGCTCATTCATTTGCTATGTTGGTCTAAGGTAACCACAGAGACCTAGAGCTTGTACAGTGCCAGGTACTCCAAGCAGTACACTAAGATAACATTACCTGGCCCTGGTCCCAGAGAATGACTTTTCCCAGAGTCAAAATGATTAAGCCTTTATTATATTACAAGATACTTAATTTCTTACTGTGCACTAATTTGGGCTTATTGAAGAAATATATCTGGGAAACTTTCTTAGGACCTCAGATTTAAAAACCCAGTAGTAATAAGCTAAATATTTTCTTATATCTTTTAACAACTGTAGCCTTGAAAGTCCTGGTTGTGACAACACCAGCTTCAGATGTAGCTGCAACCCACAGAACAATACATCATGACGTGAGTATCACTGTTAAATACAGGCTCTCCAACATCTGCTTTACTTTTGGACGAGAGTCAAACTCTTCCATTGCCCTATCCCAGCACCGCCCCCTCCCCCCTCCACGATCCCAACAGAGTTCAAGAGTGCAGCCATGAAACCTTTGTCAAACCAGATTCTTGCAGCAACCTCCCTCCCCAGCCTGAGGACTGCACAGAAATCCCCTTGCGAGGGAGTCCCTCCCAGCCTATGCTCAAAGAAGAAGAGTTGCTATAGTAACCAGTTCTCTACCTGCACAGAAGTGGCTCTCTCTAGCCTCTTAATCTTCTCTGGTTTTATTAGTTCTGAGCGAGAAGCAGCTCGTCAGGTCAGGGCTGTGCTTGGTTCTGCAGGCTGGAGGAATGCATGGAAGGCACTGGAGGGGGCAGGGGGTCCTCGCCCATCAGGTGGTTGTTGCTAACTTTGCCTCCTGAAGAATGTCCTGTGTGAGGGTTGCCAGCACTGTCCTTTTGTGACAGATCCACATGAGCTGCAGAGGGTCAGGCACCTTTGCTTCCCCTTCCTGCCCCAGCTTGTGATGGAACCCTACTGCTATCTTGTCCAAGAACACACCTGCAACTTGCCATCTGTGGCCTTCCTTCCACATCCTCTGCAGCTTCACTGGGATAAATTTCAGTGGAAAAAAGAAACTGAATGCAGTTTCTTTTCTTTGATAGCACGTTTTTGCAACTCTTCCTAAGGTTAAAAATTACCGGAAAACACTGAAAAAGTTCTAAACTTTACTAAAGTATATATTTTCCAATACTAATTATAATTTCCAATACTAATGCTAATGGCCAGGCATTAGACTAATAGTTTTCTGCATTATGAATTCCATTGTGGAATTGTATAGGTGGGAGCCAAACAAACCTGCTGTAAGGAATAACATTCCAGACCCATCTCTAGTTCTTGTCTGTGCAACAGGGACAAATTGTCTGCACAAGGTCCCCTGACAACAAGTGGACTCAGGAGGGTATGATGTGGTGACTAGGGAGGGAGAAAAAAGCCACAGAATTAACTACTGTAGATGTAGTTGTGGCCACTAATAAAAGGCTGCAGAGAATCATGTAGGACAGAGCAAGTAGTGCACGATAACAAGGCACCAGGCACTGTCACTGCTTGTGTTAAATGCTCAGTCTGTGTGCTGTGAAGGACCCAAAAGCATTGACTGGACACTGGGACAGACTAGGCAGGAACAAGCCAACTAGAAGACTTCCTTCTTATGTTCATGTTGCTGCCATTACCATGATAGTAAATGGTCTATATTTAAGTACAACACAATAAAGATTCCAGAAGACACCCACATCAATATGTTATTTGAACAACAGACAGTAGTAAAATAGAAATGTGCATACATTTCTGAAACGTTTCAAAATTTATTATTAATCCAAATAATGAGGTAAGTCACAGACTAATCTAAGAATGATTTGGACTTCTAAAATACCTTTTTTCCCTCTCTATTTTTGCTTGTTATGCAACAATTCGCTATGCTAAGCATGCATAGCAATGGACTAATAGCAAGCTGAAAGAACTGATTTGTGATGGAACTTGCAGCTCCAGTACTGCTGGTTATTCAAGCATGGTGCAGTTTCCTCCCTATGTTAGGATGTAAAAAGGTGGATTCCAGATATGGTTTCCAGACACCATAGTTTTGACTCAGGTGCTGATTATACTTAAGCCATTAGCATCACTTTTATGGCATCCTGGCAGCTTCACATTTAAGACAAAGCATGGTTTCTAGCTGGTTATTTCCTCATGGGCCATTAAACCTCTAGCAGTCAGCATAAGGAGGTGACTGAGGGAAGTTTTGGAATCTTTGGGCAGCCAAGCCTGCAGCAATGGCAGCAGTGGAACTCTACCTGAGGCAAGACACGTGTTCTAGGCAAGAGCTTCACCTATTCACCTCACTCAGACCCATTCGTTCCTTGCCAGTGATAACAATTAGCACTCTGAGGTTAAAGAGAGGTCATGGAGTTAGAAAATTATTCCAAATAGACACAGTGTGATTATCATGGAGAACTGACTGCCAAAGACTGGTCACTGGACTTGGAGCACACACGTGGAGGGCAGACAGGGTAAACACAGGAGGGTCACCAGAACAAAGAGATTTGAGAGGCTGGCCGTGTTCTTCCTCACACACATGCACACACATTGATTTTCAAATGCTCTAGCCTGAAACATAGAAAACTACAGGTCTTGTCTGTTTTACAGTTTCTTAGCCTATCTGATGAGATTTAAGTCATATTGCTATTTATAGGAGGAAAAACATCACTCTAAATGTTCTGTGCTGATTTATATATATATATATATGTATAAATGCTCTCAAAAGATCAAATAACATTTTTAAAGTCCTCTGACCTAGTATCTTTGACTAACAATATCTTGTTACTGTACAGGTCTTTAGAGTTTCAATAATCTTTAAATTGCTATATTGGCATAAAATGAGTGGAGTGGATTTTTGTGTGAAACACTCAGAATCACACAGATGAATGGGCTTCCTTCAGAAACAGTCACTGATAATGCCTGGGAGGTGAGGGTAACTTTATAGACAGCCAGAGTGATTTTGTGATATGCCTAAACTACTTAAATGTCACAGCTGTAGACCGGTTTTTGACCCCAGAATTAAGTTGACTGTTAATTATTACTAGAATAGTGTTGTGCACTACAGAGCTTTTTAATGTGAAATTTTGTAATTAACTAATTTAATCCTAATTTGTTTCCATTGTGAAACACTCATTATAACAATTACTCATGATAACTAGAAAATCCTGGTCACCAAGAAATTAATCCAGATTAAAACCCTCTGAAAACAGAATGAAACCCACTGCCTCTTTAAACAGAGCACATAGTACTCAGTTACAGGTATTTAACAGATTTATTAAATGCTACATGATAGAATTAACTTCCCCTTTCCATTCTGATGATAACACGTGCCAACTGAATCTACAAATCCGGTTTGTTATGTATTAACCAGTCATCTGGGAATCTGATTGAGTAACACAGCAGTTGTTGCAATACCAAGACTGCCATATAAATCATGCCTGAGTCCTAAGTCAATATTGGTTCAAATATTGATTCCTATGAGAGATAGAGCTGCAGTTGAAGAGGTTACAGGTGCTGACTGAACCACTTCAGAGAGGACTGCTCCCTCCGTGCTCATTTGAGATCAACATCAAAGTGCTCACTTCAGTTTGAATTCATGAGAACAGAGCATTTGCCTTCACTTTTGATACTGACACTCTCTATCAGAACCTAGTTTTGATGTACTAAAATCAAAGGTATCACATCATGTTTAAGTACTAAGTTATTCAGTTATTTACACTCCAGAGAGATGTAACATCTGGGCAGAGGAGAATGAGACACAATAAGTTATTTATGGGGCACTAAAAGCAGGAAGGGAGTGGGACATGCAGGTACTTTTTCCTGCTTATAGATTCCTGCTTATATATTTTACTACACAAAAATAAATAAACAAGCAGAAAAAGGTGTGAAGGAAACATTGAACATCAAAATGAAAAACTGTCTTCAACACTTTGGAAAATAGGAGTCTCTCATCAGTTGGAGGAAGCTCCAAGCAATTGGAAGGGAAAAGGAATGCAGCACCCACTGATTTTTACTCTTAGAGGTATTGTGAGGCACATCTACACAGGCAATCTCCTCTTCCATTGCAATACAGCAATTTCCCTCACTTAGCCCAACTGTTCTTCTGAGCAGGAAAAGCTGGATACATTCATAGTTAGATCCTTCTGGATACATTTCACAGAGAGCTAAACGAGAATGAGTTTCTCCATTCTCTTGGGCACTGCTGTCTTGGCAGGTCCTTAGGCAGCAGTTAGAGAAAAGAGCGTGTATATTCCATTCCAACCAGTCTGAATCAGTGGACTATGAGTAACATAAGCCAAGTGCTCTAAATCTTCATGCTCTGTAATTGCAGTATTGACTAAACCAGTTGCTAAGAAAAGGATTTATACCACAAAAATGAAGATCCTCTTTTGAGCAATTTAAGATAAGTACATTTACATGAAAACAGCTCAACCTGGCCTACTTCTATCTCTTAGAATAGCTCATTGTTTCTACTATTTAAAGGCACACAAAATAAATCTATGCATTATCTTGGCTTTCAGACTAAAACTATTTTCTTAATAATATTTGTAACAACTATTTTGGAATCAATGCTTAGAGCATCACACCACATGAGACATTATTTAAATCATAACATTTGGAAATAAATAATACCTAACTAGTCACCGAATTCAAACTAATTAAAATAATAGCATATCCTCAGCTGGAAGAGACCCATGAGAATCATAAAATCCAACTTCTGACTGCATGCAGATCAAACTTAAAAAAGGCTGAACAATTTAAGCATGTTGCCCAAATGCTTCTTGAATAGTGACAGGCTTGGTGCCATGACCACTTCTCTGGGAACCCTGTTCCAATGCTTGAGCACCCTTTCAATGAAGAACTTTTTTCTAATATCTAACTAGCCCAATAAAACATTCTCTAGGTGCTATCTTTACTGTGATATGCTTTCTACAATTCCACAGCACATAGCAGAAAATTGTTCCTTGAACTCTGTGCATACTCTCCTTGCCATGAACACATCCCGTGCATGCCAAACTGAATACTTTTGGCCTGCAGTATCTGCTGTGGTTGAGCCTCCCTATGCTCCATGGAATGAAGAACAGAGCAAATTCAGCTATCCCTCCATTCCTTCTAATTGCCAATAGTTGTAATACAAAATCCCTACATGTATCATTCCTCAGCACATTGTGCAATTTTAAACCCTTTCCTTACAAATGTAGTTAGCAGATTGCTCTGAACTGCACAATCAGTTCCTTTGTCCACTGGTTGACAAACTACTGAAGTGTTAAGGATCATTTTTGCTATTGCAATCCAGGTTCTGCAGCCGAAACAAACATGGTGGTTCCCAGCTCGTTGTAGCCATATTTCTTTTCCCCTATGTCAGTTGCAGGAATTCAGTTTGACAATCCTCTTCAAAATGAGTTTCCTTTTTGGATAGGATTTGGCCAGATGGAGGTCTGCCTTAGCTTCTCTTCAAACTTTGACATGGGCTTGGCAAATCCACCACCTTGGAAGAGAAAAGGACCTCCAGCAGCATATGGGACCTCTCTGTTGTGAATTCCAGTAGGACATTAGGGATCTCAGCTATACAGCTCATCAAAACATGTCATGCCTCACAGCCAGACATCTGATGATGCATAGAATGATTCATTGCTGCATCTGGGAAGAAGGATGAGAGTGACCACAGCACTCGCACCTCTGCATATCACTGTGGGATCTGTGCCCCAGGGCCTGGGAAAGCTTGTGCTGCCATTTGGAGGAATGCCAGCAGCAGATTCAGCGGCAGCTTGGAGAACCAAAGCTGTGTGGTACCCAACAGCATCACAGTTACATTAGACAGATGCTGAAACAACTGATTTAGGAACTAAGTTCAAGAAGTGCTGCTCTGGACCCAATGTGCACCTTTTCTGCTGAGAAAAAAAGATCTTCTGAGCTACTTTGCAGTTTATCAGCACCACATGGGAGCAGAGAAAGTATTGTAAGCAAAGTGTGATTGATTGTTATGTTATTTCCTCTCCCCCCTTCTCTAGTGCTGGGTTCAAGCAGGCAATTTTGTACCAGTGACACAGCCATTACTTTAGGTAGAGGATTTTCTCCCAGCTTCTCAACAACAGCATAAAAGATTAGCATGCTTTCTGGGCATGCAAAGTATCAAAATACTCTATCTTAGCAATTGGCTCTGCTATGAGAAATAATTCTAGCTCATCAACCATTTAAAGCAAAAATTACTGTATTTCCAGGTTTGCACAAGATCAGGAAAAAATCCAACTTAATTTTTACTCCAAGCGCAATATCTGGAAGATTCCTGTCACTTGGAGGTTTTAGGACTGTCTAACAGATAATTCAAATAAGAATAAGCTCTTCCAAACATAAGTCCTTAATTTGTTTTCTTATTCCTGCAAATAGATTTTCCCACGCATTGTTTTGCAAGGCTCTTTGAAACCTGCATTTATGCTAAATGAAGAGCTAGTGGATAAGATTTTTTTTCTTTGTGAAATAATGAAAAAGCCTATTTAAACCTTTGTAAGAGGTTTCCTTCTTCCACGTGTGCATGCCAAGGCTATGGCTGCCAAGGCTATTGCTAAGAAAGGTTTGAGTCAGGGATGGATAACTTGCTTAGCACACTGACAGGGTATGCAGGATGTCAGTAAAATACTCCCCATGCAGAATGTTTGAACTGTGCATCTATCCTCTTGTGACTAGAAAATTGTACAAGAGGACAATTCCCCTCCTCCTGGAGGTTCATTGTTGAGAACATGATGACAAAACCACAGCCACGTAGTGTGTCAACACAAGAGCAGAACCAGGCCACCTCTTCTTCCCTGTTATTAACCTATTTGGCTTGGGACATCCTATATTTGTCTTTAGAAGGACACCAGTGTCCCCTTACCTACCTGGTCATTGCTGTTCCCTGGCACAGCCCCAGCAGTCCTGTTATCCCAAGGTGAGAGGCAGAGGTGCAGCACTGATGGCACCAGCTGGGTCAGGCCATTCTGGCACTTGTGCATGACCAGTTTGTCAATGCAGCCTGCTGCCAATCCTGCCTCTTGCTGTCCTTCAAAATCACTCCTTGTGGCTGCATGGCTGCATGCCACAGTAAGACACTGCTCAGTTAAAGTTCAAACTGAATTTGTAGCCAAAAAAAACAATTCCTGGTCCCTTCCTGTCCTGGATTAGAATGACTTCAAAACAAATAGGGTGACCTCAAAAAACAAAAATAGAAGTGCTCTGCAGTCATCACCTGCCTTCCTAGAAAACCCAGTTTCCATCATTTGTACCTACTGGCAAGCCTCACAGGAGCTTCAGTTTTGTATGGCTACACATCCCAGCAAGCCAGCCCTGAAGTGAATGACTTGCTCCTGCAATGTTCTGTCCCCCCCACTGAAACCTGCAGGGGTCTGTTAGACCTATTTTTCCCTGTTGAAAAACCATCCATCTTCATGTAAACTTGGTAGAGTCACAACCTGAAAAGAATTTTTTTTCTTAATAGGTTTTTCATTCACACTTTTATTGGGATCTACATCTTCCTCTCACAGTGCAGAATGACTTGGGTCTTAGGATCTCCCCATGGATTTTATTACACCAAGGGTGGGATTTCACTACAGACACCTGTGTCTCGGCTCAGCCCAAACTCCTGTGTGCGGTCAACAGCACCAAGGGCAAGGTTCACTTAATCCTGAAAATTCTTCAAACAACTACTAGTTTCTTTCCTTTGGCCATAAAAGGAACCCAGACTGGCTAGCTTGGTGTACATCTCTACTTTGCAGATATCTAGAATACTGATGTACACTATGGAAAATTACTCTGAAATTATCCTCCTGATTACAGTCTCACTGTTCACACAAATGAAGGGAAAGCTAAGCAAGCCAGAACACTCTTTTTTTCCAGCAGGAGGGCCAAACTTCCTTTTGGTTTGTAACCTTTGCAGCAAGGTTTCTTTCTTTTAAAGGGGAAACATACGAAGTTAGAGACACCTAAATTCTGTATAGTCCTCAACACCTTGGGTGAGACAATCTCTGTTATGTCCTTAAAGAGCATTTGCACTCCTGAGAAAAGCAAAATGCTTGCACAAGGATCAGTCCATATGTTTTCTCAGTTCTGGCCCTTACAGGGGCTTTTTGGTCAGACACATAATTTGTCTTCTTTGGTTTCAAACTTGGCAACTTCTTTGTGATATGGCCCCCTGGAAATGCCAGAAGACTGTCATGCACACACAGATGAAGAAGTAGCAATATTTAGCTGTGTAAAGTCTACCATGTCTTAATGGCAAAAGCAAGCTAGGACAGAAGGGAGCTGGTGCAGATTTGCACTGGGAGGATGGGAATGTGTGTTGGCCTGCTGGGAAGAGGGCAGAGGGCCTGTTTTTAGAGGATGGCCAGGATTAAGTAGACCAGGTTGTTTGGGGAGGGATGAAAGTGTCTGTGTCTCCTTGTTTCTTCAGAAAAGAGCTAGAGAAGTATCAGCATCAGCACAAAGATTGAGCACACGTGCTGCAAAGGCAGAAAGGATGGTATTTTCTGGTTTAGCCTAGTTGTTGCTTTTGGCTGATAACCAGTAAAAATAAAACTTTACTGTCATTATTACCACATTTGAGAGATCAGTGTGAAGGACAATCCTGCCACCAGATAGAGAGTAACACAGGAGAGAATCTAATAGCTCTCTCCTATCCTTTTCTCTTAGACTGTGCTAAAATGATTACACTTCCTTATCTGCAAACTAACAATAGCTCTGCAGCAGCATAGGAAAGTTAAACAAGCCTTGAGTCAAGGGGATGTAGAGATTACCCCTAGGCACTGAATAAAGCTCTAGACCACATATTCTTCTGGGGAAAAAATCAACCTGCAAAAGGAACAAGTTTTGAGGTGTTACTCACTTAAAACTCTAGTCCTGTGGCTCATCATGTTCCACCTTCAAATATCTCCCCCAGGTGCTGTCCACGGGCTAGCAAAATCACAGACATGAAGTTTTTTGCCTTTAGATCAGAATGTATCCCCTGTCAATAGCAGATAATGCTCTAGCAGTGGATTTCATCAGTGCAATAACAAAAATAGGAAAGAAATCCTGACATTGAGCCAGCCATCAATAGGCAGGCACAGCATGGTGATTGAACTAACCTGCCCCCAGGAATTGTCCTGCTATGGAGAGGTTTCCTGCACATGGCAGGGCAGGGAAGAAGTAAGCTGGGAAATTCCTGCTCTTTTATTTATGTTCAGAATCAGGTAGTTTGCAGCCAAATGCTAAATTCTTTCAAAGCATTCTTAAAGGAAAGACAGAAATGTAGCTTGAAGCATGTTGTTTCCTTGCTAGAACTGCATTAACTCTGAATAATTCCATTGCACTGCACCCTGCTAAGCAGAATAGAACCTCTCTACTTAGAGAGCTTTTGTGCTGCTAGTTACTGAAGTCACAGACAATATATTTTGCATTGTACTTTTATGATTCTCCTCCCATGCTACATCAACTTACTTAAAATACTACAGACTTCTGAAGAGGAGTTAGTTCCAAGATGTACTTTTTAAATGTTCTTAGCTTTCCTCTCTGTAAAGCGTGTGGTGTGCTCTTCCACACCCACCCTTTGGCCTTGAGAAGCCAGTCCCTCAACAAACCATGCCACGCTCTGTTTGTTTTAGTAATTCTTACCCAAGGTCTTTATCTTTGAATCCTGTTCGTGCAGCTTTGGACAAGATTCAGTGCTTGGAGGGCAGGGTGAGCGAGGTGGGAAAGATTTTTTAGTGCCTTTAGTATTTAATATGTTATCTCGCCTGTGACTATTAAGTAGATGATTTACAAGCTTGTTGACACTGAGATGGTGTGAGTTTCTGCCCCTTACAGTAGATGCAAACACTACTTGAAAGAGCAGCTATAGGAGGGGGTAAGGGCTACAGAGAAGTACAGTTTCCAGCCTGTGCACAAAGCACCCAGGAAGTCTTTGGAGAAAACACTGTAGTAGGTAGCCTACTGCAAGCCCTTCACCTGCTCCTGGCTGGTCTGTTCACAACAGCAGCACACTAAAATCACATCCATCTTCTCTTGCAGCTGCAAATTCACAGCTTACAGTGCTACTCCACACAGCAAATTTATTAATTAGAATTGTGTGTCAGTCCCTGACCAGGACACACTTTCTGAGGCCAGGCTGTTGCAGCCTGAGCAGCATGAGCTGCTGCTGTGGGAGCTTAGCAGCACAGTGCAGGAATGCTTGGAATGTTTCAGTCAGCAGGTACTTCAGAGATCCTTTTCTAGGAAATGCCTGCACTTCTCATAGAAGTAGTCTCCCAGCCCACTGCCCCTCTGAGACAGTAACAGTGGGCTCCCTCTTCTCCCCTCCAAGCATCACACAAATCAAAATGTTCTCTCCAGCTCCAGCGTTAACCCCAGTTCCCCTTTGTGAGGCAAAATCATCATTAGAAATGAAAATTACACAAATCAGCAACATACTGGTGTCTTTCCAAACATGCTGTGGGTCTGGATACAACCTTGGAAGGCAGGCTGCTTTTAGAGAGTGATCCCCTCCATAGCTGTGGGGCCAAATGCTTGCAATCAATTCAACAGCTTCCAACAGCTAGAAAAACAAGTTGCTCATTTGCCTGTTTCAAGCAAGAAATGCTATCATAGTTTTAAAGACCAGCTCTGCTTTTGTAATAATCTTTCCTATGCTGTCTCCATCTTCCCCCTACCTATCCAACACTGAAACACCTTGCAGACACTATGAGTTAAATTTTCTGACAAGCACTTCTCTGATTTTCCATCTTTTAAACTTCCCACCTCTGCAAACTAGTGCTTGGTAAAAGACCTTTGTCCCTACCACACTGATCACTAGCCCAGCATATCAAGGACTTGCTCTCCAGTGTCTAGGGCTGTTGTGGGAAAGGAGATACAGTATGGAGACCTCTTTAATACATCCTAAAACCACTTCCTGAACTATCCTAACTGTGAAATACCTCTGTACACTGGATTAATTATTATAATTTCTGAATAGATAAAATGACTGTCAAGAAACATCTTTTGCTCATTTATAATTGGTTAAGAAACTTCACTTCTAGAAGGGAAGGATGTAAATCACTGTATCTGGCACTCAAATTGACAGGAAGGGTAGAGGTGTCAAATTGAGGGGAAATGAAAGCAGGGATAATTACCAACTTAGCAGTGCAAACCTCTGGAAAAACACCAGTCAATAACATCTCCTTTCTTGTCTCTGGGTTCACTTGTATTACTTGAAACATGCCATCAACCAAATCAAACACTTGAGGCTCTATACCACCATCTGCCCCATTCATGGGATTTGTGTTAGGAACACACGACCAGGGACAATTGAACCAGCTATTCCAAAATACCTTTTAGTTACCCCATGCAAATAGAGGTATCCTAAGTAAGATGTAGGTACATATCTTTTACACAGGTAGGATGTGCAGAGTTTTCTGAAAGAATAATTAAAGCAAATTTCAGTATTTCATACCCAGTTGCAGGCACAGTTGACTTGCTGAATATAAAATATTAATTTAACATATAAATATGAGAGGAAGGAAGAAATCAATTCACTTAACTCTAATTTTCTCTATGCTAGTAATCTACTAAAATCCAGTAATCTTGGTGTTCAAAGGAGAGATTCCTCCAATGTTCAACCCATTTGTTGTCACTGTTGCCCTATAGCACTGGCAGAGGGGAGCTCAATCCTTCCCAGGCATGTAGGGCATTTGGAAAGGCTTGTTGGATAGGATGCCTCCATTTCAGTATCATGAAACCACTCCTGAAACAAGCTGCTGCTGCCTGGGGCTCAGCAGGAAAGGGGCTCTGCCAAAGCCATTGGATTTGGGATCCTCCAGTGTGGCAGTTAGAGACAGACAGAGCTGCAGTGCTGAGCCAAGGAGCCTGGATAGCAAAGCTGCAGCCCCAGCACTGCTGAGAGGTGGGGTGGCACTCCCGGCTGGAACATCCAGGACTGTAGTGTGCCAGGCAAGCTGCCTTTGGGCAGGTTTCCCAAATGCTGTACCCAGAGACAGAATGTACAGAGCATGCCCTGCACAGAGAACGCCACTGTTGTGCTGCAGCTACTCCTCTGGGACCCAATGTCACACACAGATCCTGAGCAAAGGGAGAAATCCATCTGCAAAGGACACATCTAGAGAAGCTCTGAACTGCAACAGGATGGGCAGTGCCCAGTCAGGTACTTCTTGTTTGTTTTGTACTCCTGTAGGCAAGAGAATCCATCCTCAGCTTTTCCCTGAAGCAAAGCTAAGTAATGGGGCCCTGCCTAGATTGCTAAAGGGAAAGTAGGGCCCATCCTCCATGCATACTGGAATGAACTTGAGGGAAAATGTTAGAAATAGCCACCTGAGCTCTTGCATACCACTTCTAGGGCCCAAGAGAGAGCTACGTCAGCAAAATTAGGGCAGCTTCAAAGGTTTTATTAACTCAACAGTGTACTGACATCCACACTACAAGCTTTGGTGAACCCGCCAAGTGTGTGGTGGAGTTGGTAGAACAGATTTCACTTGGTCTCTCAGTGGGTCTGCCACTGACTAGAACTTCAAAAAAGATGAAAAATGTTACCTGCTCAGACTAGTTTGTATGGATGGTGCCACAGATGTTAGAGAAGGAGTAAATTTGACATGTCTTAACTTGTACAGAGAGAGGGATTTTCTTTAAATCATTATCGGTCTACCAGTCATAAAATCTCAGATTTCTGTTTGTGCATGACACTTCTTAAAACAGAGGCATTATACTGTATGTATAGTTAAAATCCAGACTCTGGGGAACTGCAAAATTTACCATTTCTTCGTCTTCTGAAGAAATGGCTTCTAGGAAAAAACCCAACTCTGGAGAGAGGGCAAATTTTTCACAGAATTGTGAGAGGAAACACAAAAATCCCTTACTCTTGTATTTCTGCTTTCTACCACATGGTGTGATTGCTTATGTCTTTCACTGCATGAGAAAATGGTTTCACAGTTGCCTGGAAATCTCAGTGCAAGGTCCCTCCGCCTTAGCAGAGTTGAGTCTCGTTAATCTTTCCAAGGTCTCCCCTGTCCACTGTCTGTTTCCCTTCCTTCTCCTGGGCCATCGCTGTCTGTTATTCTCTCCTGCCAAGGTCATCTTACCTCTGTGCTTGTTCCATTCGCTCTACCTCCTCCCCACTTCTCGTGTTACCATCTTTCATGCAAATGCCACTCACCTTCTCTGTTATCTCTTGCTAACTCATTCAGTCTTTATCCCTTTCCAGAGCAGCTGAAAGGCAGGAAATTAGTAGAAATAGAAGAAACAACAGCTTTCAAACATGGCTACAGGACCAATGTTTCTGCTGTCCCTCATAAGTGAAAGTCTTTGCAAAGAAACTTTGCCTTTCTGCTGTGGGTGAAGACATTGTGTTCTCACACAGCATCTCAGTTTGCAACAAAAAGATTTGTACATGCTGACAGTAAGAGCAGAGGAGAGAGAGAGCAGGAAGGGCTGGGAGGCTGTGTTCAGTTTGAACTGCAACAAATAGTACTTCCAACTGGGAATAAGGACAGTCCATGGTGTCAGCTGCTCTATTTCTGATTCACAGCTCAGGAGGCCTCTATTTTCCACAGTCTCATGTTGAGCAGGTAGCGTAACATGTGCACTTCTGCAAATGCCAAAGCAGACAAGTGATGCTCACTCACTGGCAGTGGTCTAGCTATTGATATTCCGAAATTAGGGATTCTGCTCCATCCCTGCATGCTGAGTGCAGCAGCTTAAAGCACTGTCCCCACCCTTGCTGCATAGTTTGCTCTCAGTGCATGAGTGACATAGGGTGTCCGCTCAGTGCCCCAGCAGCAGGACAATAGCACAGGATTTACAGAGCCTGAGGGAATGATTTGCTGGAGCATACAGTGTTGGCCTGGTGCCACTACCATGGAGGTCAGGGTCGAATCAACCCTGCTTGTGAAGCAGCTGATACTATTGAAAAATGCCACCCTTGGGCTCTGTGAACTTGGGCTGCTTTCTGTACAGAATTTTTCTGCTTTCACAGTAGAATTGAAAACATCTTTCATCTGCAGCACTGTGGACATGATGGGCAGTAGAGAAGATCTCTCTAAACCAATGTCCTTTTCTTCCTTCTTCTCAATAGCACTTGGGAATCTGCCCTTTAACCAGACTCCTACACAAACTGACAAAATCACAATCCTTTAATCAGGAACTTCTTTCCTACATAGATTTGTATGCAAGTAAAAGTGAGAGAGCCTGGCAGTTGTCAGAACCCATCTAAGGCCACATCCAAAATTCAGTTGAACTTAGCTTCTTGCAAGAACCTATCCTGTTTGGTAGTTTTCATCCCTGTTTAAATAAATTCCCAGACTCAAGCAAAAAGGGACCCACTATGCATGACTGTCACAGTTTAAGCATCACTGTTGTGCTTTTAAATACAGACATATCCAGGCACTGCAATGCCAGCAAGTAGAAGGAACATCTGAAAATAACTTTAAATCTTAAGACACACAATTGAAGTAATGAAGCATGGAAGCAAAGAGTTAAAAAGACACTAAAATGAAGCCTAAAGAGACTGGCCAACATCAACAGACAAAATCTGCTGCATACCCAGCCTTAACAGAAAGCAGGAATTCTTTGCCTAGAGATCTCTTCTGAACAAAATATTACAAGACAGATTATAAACTGTTTTAAGAGTCTTATCCCTTGGGTGTTATCAGCCAACAGGTCTATATGCTGAGATGGCAAAATGAAGTAATACACGCTGTTATCTCAGAGCACATTATAAGGCTGAGGTGGAGATGGTATTTATATTGAGGTTCATGTCATGCTTTTTTCAATAAAAATGTAATTCTGTGGCCCTATAGTAATTCTTCAGCTGTGGAGGTCCAGAGTCTAAGGTCAGGCCTTCATAAATGGGAATTTACTCATGCTCAGCTGACTGATGTTGCCCTTTGAATGGACACATCAATGATATGAGTTAAACTGCCTCACCCACTTCCACTTACCTCTTTCCTTTTTTATTCCATTTTGTCAATACAACCTGGAAGCAGCGATGATAACTCAGACCTGCAAGAGTGAACTTTGGCTGCTGTGTGAAATGTTTACCCTGATCACTGTGTAGTGTCACCCTCCAGGCTGCGAAATCAACATGAACTACATGATCTAATAGTTCAGATAACACTCAACAACACAGACAGAGCAAACTATCATGCTCCAACTAGTGCCTCATGAACTGCAACACTGCTCAGGTGTAATATACTCCTCCACCCAAAGAAAGAACACACACATCTGAAATCCCACTGTGCCCATGTACAGAAATGGGGACATAAGCATGGCCTATATACTGTTAAATGGGAGTAGAGGGGGCTGCTCACAACACAAGCTTTTTGCAGGTGCTTCAGCACGGCTGCTTGTACTAACTTAAAAGAGGCTATACTCAAGAGTTTACCCTGTTTCAGGCTATGGCTCTAGAACAGTAGTCTCCTAGGAGTGCTGTTGCACTCATACCTTGCACTGTCCTCAATCTGTCCTTCAGAATTCTGCTCGATGCACCCTGGAAAATTTCCCAGTGGTTCAGCTGACAGTAGCATTAAAAATCACAGCATGTGTCTGTAGTCTTCTTTGTATCAGACATTCAGATAGCATGCTGCAGAGATGCAATTGTTGCAGCTATGTGCTCTTAAAAGACTGCATGTGTCCCAGGGAATGTCTTTACCAGAGATGACCATCTCTAAGCAGGCAGCTGCAGGTCTCATCCAGTGAAAACAGTTTATTTCCCTAAAAGCTTTATAACTTCAAGTCTTTGCTGCAAATCCCCTACTCAAGTTTTGCCCTTAATTTGAGGGTCATCAATACACAAAACCTCTTCGATCTTTCTAGTGGCACACCAAAATAAAGATTAATACTATTATTCATGCGGGTCACTGCTATGACAACCTCCCTGGCACACCAGTTTCCCAGGAATGCTGTTGAACAGATACCTTGTGCTGTCCTCCTCATCTTGTCCTTGAGAATTCCACCCATTATTCGTTGGAAATTTTCCCAGAGTAGTTCAGCTTACAGCAGTGCTAAGAATCACAGCACACGTCAGTAGATGGTTTTATATCAGGTGCACTGGGATACAATGCAGCAGAGGTTTGAGTAACAAAAAGTTAGCTCTGTTACATCCCCCCCTCCCCCTTGGTTATTTAAAAAAGAAAGAAGGAAAGGAAGGAATAAATAGTGAAGTAAGTCAACAAGAAACCACAATCCATTCCTTAAGTGGTAACCAGGCTACTGTGCTTTGGAACTTTTCCTGACACAACAAAAGACACCATGAAGACAGGAACTTTGGCAGCAGTGGTTTTGAACTCCACAACCCCCAACTTTCGTCTGTTTTTCTATGCATATGTTACTGGAAATATAATCATCTGCTAGGGAAGCGGTCAACCCTCCAGACGGATACCTAACCAGCAGCAAGCCTCTGGAAGTAACCATAGTAGAATAAAAAGGAGATTTTCAGCAAAGCAGCCCTGAGTTCCTGAATTAACCAATGTCCTCCTTTGCCTGACCACGGTCACCATAGTGACCAGAGGAGCTGCCGCCGAGCCACTGCGCTGTGGCTTGGGACGGAGGCAAGTGGGACGCCGTGCTGGGAATCAAGTGACTTTGACTCAGGGCCCGGTTATGCAGATATAGGCTGTGGGACCAGGCATTGGGAGCAGCCTTGGGAGTACTGTGATGGGAAAGGGGGCTTACAGAGCAAAGAGGTGCAATTCCTGCCCTGAATGCCAGCCGTGAAGGGCCAGCCCTGCCGGAGCGGTTGCAAGGTTACCAGAGGAGTCAGAAGGTGAAATAAAAAGAGTTGATAATGAGGAGCATGAGGAAAGAAGACATTGACGGCAATGCAGCAAACACGGTTAAACTGGAGCTGGAATAAGCAGATTCATTCCCCTCGACATCATTTGTGTGGACTGCTCCCTCTCCTGGGGAAAACCTGACCGGAAAAAAAAAAAAAAATCACAACCCAAAACAGTCCTCAAGCAAACAATGTACCCCTAGAGTTTACAGGCAGCCAGGCCCCCTGCTTCCAGGTTCAAGTGGGAGAGGGCAAGGTGCAAGACCCCCGTGCTGCCCTTCCCAGACGGGCTGTGTCCTGGCTACAGGAGCCTGAGCTGGTGAGGCCAGCTGTGACCTCCAGTCTCATGCACAGCCAAGCACCACTCCAGCCTGCGCAGACAACAGCAACACTGCCTTCTCCCTGCTTGGTGCTGCTTCCAAGCTCCACCCAGATCCACTCTCAAACCACTGGAGTGGTCCAGTGGCACAGCAGGCAAGGATCCAGGAAATAGTGCTTGCAAGCACTTTTCAGAGTGAAGGCTGGAGTAGAATTTCCTCTTTGCTGGAAATTGGACAGAAACCACCAGTTTCAGTCTTTAGTGCTGGTAAGGACTGACAATTTTAGAGTCGCTATGAGTGAGGAAATGGAAGAATAACCTTGAAACATACTCTCATGGTGAGAAATATTCACCACTCACTTAATCTTTGTTGCTTTAGGATCCCAAAGTCCAGTTAAAGTATTTTCAGTGAATCTAGCTCAGAAGATCTTGCAATAAGATTAGAACCAACTGGTGAAAAATGGCATATTACTGTAGCCAGTAAATACCCACATGAACCAGCCTTAGAGAGATGAAAGGCTCTGCTGAGCTTAACAACTCATTATTATATACCATACTGGCTGATACTAGAAATGCCTCTTCCTTTTAAATCCTTTCCCAGCTGATGACCTCTGGTGTGGAAAAGTGATGATTTAAAAATGAGAAAAGAATTATATCCATGTTACAGAGAGGGACAGGCTTGCCTGTAAACAGAAAGCAGTGTCAGGGTGTAAAACCAAACAAACGAACACTTTCTGAATCCCTGGACTTTGACCAAAATCCTCCACCTTGTCTACTTGCACGTGCTATGACAACTTGGTAGAACCTTTCATCCTGGTGAGAAAGCCTTGCTTGATTCTTAATGGTCTCTGAGAGTTATCATATGATTCCACGTCAGACAATCATGCACTCAGCAAAGGTCACAAGACACACAGCCATTCCTCTTGGCTTTACAGCTACTTTCCACAGCCAAGACTCCTCCTTCTTACACCATTTTGAAGTCAAGTGCAGCAGCACTCCTGCCTGCCAAGCACTGGGAAACCCTGCCATTAGTCAGGCTCTGTAAGGGGCACATAATTTTTTTTTGTGTCTACAGGTGCCAACAAGAGAGCCATAATGGATTTGCAACATTTAATTAGTCTAAATGGATTCTTACTGGCTGCAACTGCATCTGCTTGGCAACATAAAAGAAGTGCAAATCTCACTTGTACAGATTTGGTAGGTTGGGGCAGGGGTAAAGCTTTTCCAAAAGACAAAAAGTAATGTAGGAAAGTCACTATTGCCCTATATATTCTACAATCTAAAAGAAAAAAAAGAGGCGTTCTAATAATATTATTGTTCTAACTATCTGAGATATAAATACCTAATTCAAGGCTCATACTAAATACATAAAAAATTGCATAACTAGGAAAAGTCCTTGTCCTGAGGAGCTTATAGTTTCTTTGGACTTAAAGGCTTTATTAGGTGATGGGCAAGATCATCTCTGTATTGCAGACAGATCACAGATGAGGAGCCGGACTTTGAATGCTTTGGTGATGTGTAAGACAAGTCTAGTAAGGCAAGTCTGAAGAAAGCACAAGAACAGAAGCAATAAATATAAGGTGGAAATGTTCAGGGCTACACAAAAGAATACCCATTGCAATTTTCTTGAGCAATGCAACCAAGAAGTCTTGAACCCCAGGCACTCAAACTTCTCCTTTCCTTCAGAGACTGCCCCTGTGTTGCTGGGACTGCAGCATGAATGGCAGCACGGGATGGCTCAGACTCTATAGTGCAGTGCTGTGCTTGTCACCAACTCATCTCAACCACAGATCACATGTGCAGGCTGGGAGAGCTGCAGTGAGGGGGCAGATCCCCTTCTGTCTCCCCAGCCTGCTAGTTCTGCCAGAGGCATTTCCCAGTAAGTTGTGGAAACGCTCAGTTCTCAGGGCCCTTAACCCACTGATAACTATGACTATGCAGTCACTGATTAAAAGCATCTAAATAGGCTGTTTTGATAGATTTTATAGATTTGGTAGAGCCTCCTATCTCCTCACCTTCCTTTCTGTGAATCAATTTGACTTTCTGGAGCACCCAATCTAAGCCAGACTTTCAGAGCAGATCAGCATTTAGGTATTGTTCTGCTTTTACCAAACAAATAAAATTTGGGTTCTGGGACCCAGTTCAAAGGCACACAAGCAACTTATAATAGCCAACCAAGATTTCCTGCACCTTTGACCATTGTCACCTCTAACTGGATGTCCCAGTCAGACAGGGAATTCTTAAACCTCTACAGAAGGTCTTGTCTCTGCACTTTAATCAGTGTTTAGAAGATCAATGCTATTTCAAAGTGTGTCACTGCTCTGTTCCCTTAAGGAATGAACTGCTAACCATAACTCTGATCTCCTTCAAGACCATTGGGATATGTGGTAGATTGCTGTTTACTGTTGCTGCATGTTTCTGGGTAATTCTTGATCTAAAAAAAGGCATGGGCAAAAGTAAGGGTCTGTGGACTAAACCCCATGGTTTCTCTGGGAGCAGCAAGGCAGGGCTGCAGAACAAAGAAAACGGCCACATAGCCTGGGCTGAATGAAAGTCAGGTAGTGTTCAGCTACACTTTTCATTTTTTGTATTCATCCATCATTTTTGTTAAGACTTCACAGAAATTATTCTACTAAGTCTGCTCAGATAATAAATACCTCACTGTGTGGGAGAGAATAGCAAGTTAACCAAACATGAGAGAGTTCAGTATTCCAGAAAGAGATGCTGCCTAGATGGCCAGGATCTTCCTACAGCTGCTAGCACATAGCATGGAGGTACAACACCATAGCAAATCCTAATTTAAAAGTACTGCATAACAACAGGACAGGCAGCAGCCAACTTGCTCTCACTTGATTTTGGGAGTTGTAAGACCAGCCAACAACCCTTCCCCCTCAAGAACCCTTACGGCATTCCTGAGGCAAGTGTTAATACTGGATCTCGACCAAGAAAGAATTCCTATAGACTCAGGGGACGAGAGGAGGATGATACACTGCTTGCTTTTTTCCACTTTTCCCCTCATGTCCCACTGCTCCTGTATTGGTGGTGCCCGTTGCACAAGGACCTTTAACACAGTTGCAAGTGGCTCCCAGCAGGATGCAGGGCACAGCAGCACATGCGGCCTGCCTGCCCTTGGCAGGAGTTGTTCTGACTAATGGAAACAGAGGAAACTCGAGAGACAGGCATGGAGAAGGCTGGAAAGTGCTGAAGGGGGAAACTCCTGGTGGAATGCAAAAGGATTAAAACCGTCAAGAGCACAGCAGCATCCAGCACCAAGGTATTCCCAAACTGTCTTTGCCGAGCATGGCTGGTCGTTTTCTTCTTTCATGTAACGCTCAGATACACTCCCAGGATACCCCACATACAAAATAATAAATGGCCAAATAACTTGTAACTAATACAAACTGGTCTCTTAACCGGGAGCAGGGCTGAGAAGTCCCTCTCTTGGAATCTTAGTGCCACCTTGTGCTGGGAACGGTAACAGTCAATGGATAAAAGAGCTAGTCCAGAACCGTGAAGGAGAGGAAGGGGAGAAGCCATCCTTGGAGCAAAGCTGCATTAAGTGTTTTGGCTTTTGGAGATCTTTCCTCTTGGTACAAAACAACATAACTCCCAAAATCCTGCTGCAGAGTCCTTTTATGAAGGGATGGGTGGGCAAGAGCGAGCAACTTTTGCAGGTTTGCCCTGACCCCAGACAGCGGCTCAGAGTCACACCGCCGCTGTAACCATGCACAGCTAGCTGCAGCTGGCAGACACCAGCACAAGCAGGCCCAGGGAGAAACACGGTGTCACCTCATACAGGAAAATTTTGCTGAGTATTACTGGCATCCCCTTTGGAGCCTGTTTTGCAACAGGTAAACCCATAAGTAGTGCAGGTGTGGAAAATGAACCAGTAAAATGCAACAAGCATTTTACAGAGCAATTTCCAGATACAAAATACTGTTATGCTAAACCTATGGACAGGTGAGACAAGCCAGCTGGTTTCCTTGGGGGATATAAAAGCGGGGTTTTAATTTCTTATTTGTTTATTTTTAAATTATTTTGAGACTTTTCTCTAAAGATGGGTTAAATTCCATCTGGTCAAATTTGAACTTCTGAAAATGCCTGCTTCTCTAAGCTGAGTTTTAGGGGAACTTTAGCATCATCAGCCTCATGGTTTTATTTGTTAATTTGTTCAAAAATGAGAGGTTATTCCTTTTTGAAAAATTGTATTTCAAAGTCATTTGCAAAGATTTTGTATTACTGTTGATCAGTTAAGTTTTATCTCTTTACCACTTGGAATGTTTCTACAAGTTGGTTGGCTATGGAATTGCAGACAGTATCGTCTTGAGTTTTATTCACCTCAGGGTTTCTTTGCAAACTCAAAGGAGGAAAAGAAAGTATTTTGAAGAATATTTCTGCAGCAAGGTAGGAATTATCTTGGAAAGAAACATCCTGCTGAAGGGGCAGGATGAATGAACATGCGAGTGTACTGACAGGGATGGGGCATCCACAACTTCTCTGGGCAACCTGATCCAGTGTCACAACCCTCACAGGAAAGAATTTCTTCCCAACATCTAATCGAAACCTCCTGTCTCACAGTTTATAGCCACTGCCCTTTGTCCTATCACTTGTGAAAAGTCCCCCTCGAGCCTTCCTGCAGGCCCCCTTTCAGTGCTGAAGGTGCTCTAATGTCTCTCCAAACTGAACAGCCCCAGCTCTCTCTCTGTCCTCACAACCTCCAGCCTCAATCAGCACAGGGTGCTCCAGCCCTCTGACCATCTCTGTGCCCCTCCTCTGGACCCGTGTCTTTCCTGTGCTGAGCACTCTACACCTGGACACAGCATT